GTCAATGGGCCCGTCAGCCGACACTAGTGCGCTGCCCTATTCTCGGTGGACGGAGCTGAACTGCATCGTGTGTATAGTGGCTGCCGGCTTCGCGTTTGTGGCAGGCGTCATTCTCTTTGTGCATTACTTCTTCTGCCCCTTTTCGAACATACTTCGCAGTGCATTTAACGATGTGTTCGTCGCTGTCGTGGTGGTGCAGGCATTGCAGGCGCTTCAGTTGTTCGTGTTTTCTCTAATGACAGTTGTGGAGGGCCGCCGCACCGCACATGACATCAGTGAATGGGGCGGCGGTGGTACCTCGTCGCGTGGCATGACGTATGCAATGTGTAACACGAACGCGTCACTTCACCAGTTTCTCGATGCGTCAACACAGCTTCTGCAGACGGCTTTCTTCTTGGTTGTGGCCAATAGCCGCCGCCTCACGTCGTTGGAGGAACTCGACGTGAGCGACGATGAACGCGTCGTCCGCACGGGTGCGAGTGGGTTCCACGAAAGTGTGCTACTGGACGATGAACGCGCGTATAGCAGTAGTGGTCGGAGTTCTGCGTCGACGGCAGCGCGTCCATGTGGTGCTGGTGACACTCAACCTAAGCGTCATAATAGGGATAGCCAAGTGCAGCAGGATCCGTCTTTGTGTTGCAGCTGTCTCTATTCTTTGAAGAGACTCTGTAGGGGTGTCTTTCCCTGCTGCTGCTGCTGGGCCACTAAGTGGCGCGTTGCTACTACGTCTTTGTCTGCCCTTCACGGGCCGTTAGTGCCACCCATCGTTGAAGAAGATGTAGCTGTGGAAAGTGGACGCCACACCTTGCTGCGCGTCACGTGGAAAGTGTACCTTGCTGCCTTGCTGTACGCCTCTTGTTCACTGCTGCTGTGCTGGTTGGTGCTTGCCTACGTGCCAGGCCTCGTGGTGGCGCCGCGCGGTGGGGCAGATCATGGAGACAGCAGTAGTAGTGGCAGTTATAGTAGTGGTAGTATTAATAATGACGTGGAGCCACGCCGAACAGTGCACAACACATTGTTCTTTACGCAGGAGTTTGCATGGTGCTGGATTCCAAGTGGAGACACCTTATCCCCACCGGTGTCACCACAAGAGAAAACAATCCTTGTACTACTTCAAGTGGTCGCGGCGTACGCATCACCTGTGGTATTTTTCTTTAGCGCTACCTACGCTTACCTCGCGTTGCGGCGCTGCTCCCCTTCTTTATTGCGTGATCACCCTATTGTCCTCTGGCGTATCTCCGTCTTCTGTGTCTATCCGACTGTTGTATACATTCTTGGGGCACTGGAGCGTTTCGTGGTTATGCCAGTTTCCTTTTCCACCAGTGCCACCACTAACACCGCCAATTATCACGACGGCGGCAGTGATGTGTGTATGTGGCTCTCAGTGGTGGTGTCTTTTATGTACCCTTTCACTGCAGTTGTGAATGTCGTGCTTTTCGTCTATACTGAGGAGTTGCTGCGTGGGATCTTGGCTACTTGCTGTAGCCGCTGCGGCAACAGCAACGCAGAGGGTAACACGGATCATGACTCCTTCGACTGCAGTAGCAACGTGGCCCAGGACCGCGTCATCTCGGACGGAGGTGACAGCAACAGCGTGATTGCAACGACAGGGTTTTGCGGTGTTGTAAAGGCCATTGCGTGCTCCACTGTAACGGGGCTTCCACCTGGTGCGGCGACGTACATTTTTGCCTCCAGGCCCGTTGCGCTGGGGCCAAGCAGCCACCACAACAGAAGCGCCGCCAGTGGTCCCCTGTCGTCGTACCTGCAGCTGTCGACATCTGCGCGCACTGGGGCAAGCAACATCACCTCGAATGCGCGTGTCGATCAGCTTCCCACCAGCTCGCGTTGACTCTGCGAACGTGAGGGTATGCGTGTGTGTGTGTGTATGTGTGAAGTGGTGAACAGCAGGGAACTTATGTGTGTGCGAGTTTTCCCGTTGTGGTTGAACCGCCCACCTTCCTGCGTTCCGTCGTGATATCACATGTTCATCCTTTCTCACTTTTTGCGCACTGTCTTGCTTCGTTTAGTGGTGCCAGGGCGCTTCCACCGATTTCCGGCTCTGCAGGGTGCACACGCTGTTGTGTGTGCCGCAGCTTATGACGATGCGTCTCGCTTCTCTGTGGGCTCTTTCTTCTTTTTTTTCCCCCTCGCCCTCCGCTTTCGTTCGAACAGTTCGCGACTCCGCTTGTGCTGCCAAGCAAGGCCACAGCTTCACACAACGTCCAACGCACACACACACACACACACACCATCATTAGCAATGTACCTGGCTGTCTTTCAGGAGTTCGCCCATCCCGACGTGTTGGCGCGGGTCGAGAGCGAAGGCATGTGCCGCGTCGACAAGGCTTCGGGCCCGTGCACCTTGGCAAAGTCTGATGAGGAGCTCGCAGCGGTGCGCAGCAACGCCAAGTTGATCATTGACCCTGCAAAAACCAATGAGGCGGCTGTGGAGGTGACACTCAAGGCGCTGTGCGGACTCGGCTTCACCGTAACGCACCGCCACCCCGTCACGTCGGCGGGCTGCCCGATGCGGGACCGCGTCATCCTGTCCTACACGGCGTGAGCGCGGCGTCTGAAGGGTGAAGAGAAGACACATGTGCGACTATTTGCGCGTGTGTGTGAGATGGGGTGGGGAGTCTGAGAATGAGAATGAAGAGTGATGCTTAAGCAGGCATGGTGTTTGTTCTATTTGGTGGTTGGATGTCTGTCGTTTTGTCTCACTGGAACTGAAAGGGCTTTGGTGCCTGCACTTTGCTCATTTTCTTTCCTTTGCTTTTTTTTTTGTTGTTGGGGGCTTTGGGATCTTTTCGCCCTGCCACTACGCCGCTCGCTGCTGCTGTAGTGGACTGTCAACGGGACAACACTAGCAAAGCAACACATCATGGGGCCACTCTCCAAGAAGCGCATGATCGTCCGCGACGGCGTGTTCTACGCCGAGCTCTTTGAGTTCCTCAAGCGCGAACTCGCCGACGACGGCTTCGCGGGCGTCGAGCACCGCGTCACGCCGACTCGCACGGAGATCGTCATCCGCGCCACCAAGACCCGCGAGGTGCTCGGCGAGAAGGGCCGCCGCATCCGCGAGCTGACGGCGTGCCTGCAGCAGCGCTTCCACTACAAGGAGGGCAAGCTGCAGCTGTTCGCCGAGCGCGTGGAGGTTCGCGGGCTCTCCGCGATGGCGCAGGCTGAGTCGCTGCGCTTCAAGCTGCTCAGCAACCTGCAGGTGCGGCGCGCCGCGATGGGCATCATCCGCTACGTCATGGAGTCCGGCGCGAAGGGCTGCGAGGTGACGGTCGGCGGCAAGATCAAGGGGCAGCGTGCGAAGAGCATGACGTTCCGCGACGGCTACATGATCAAGTCCGGCACGGCGCACAAGAACTTCGTCGACGCGGCGACGCGCCACTGCCACCTGCGTGCGGGCACCATCGGCGTGAAGGTGAAGATCATGCTGCCCAACAGCATGCGCTGCGAGGACGAGGTGCTGCCCGATGTGATCACCGTTATTGAGCCCAAGGAGATCACGGCATGAGAGCCTGCGTGTGGTGCCCTCCTGACTTTCCTCATTTCATTTCATGTTTTTTTTTGGTTGACGTTCTGCTGGACCTTTTCTTTTAAACTTTGCCGACGCATTTGCCGGGCGGCGTGCTGTTGGCTTCCTGAGGAGGTAGCCACAGACTGCACCTTTTTTTTTGGGGGGGGTGCGGGTCTCTCTGCCCCCCTCCCACACACACACCGACGCATGTTTCCCACATCACGTGCTCCTGTTCTCCTCCTCCTTTCTCTCTTTCCCTGTCTCTATCCCTCCCGCCCCGCCGCGCTGCCGTGTGGAACGCGCATATTCACTGCTGCTGCGGTGGCTGGTGGTGGTAGTGAGTTTGGCCTTCCTCGTCCGTCGCGATCTGAGTGCGCTGCAGAAGGGGAGGAGGGTGGACGTCACGACAGAAGAAAAAAAGAAAGAAAGGGGAAAAAAAGAAGCTTACTTTTGTGTGTAGAGATTTACGTGGACTTACCAAAAGATTTAGAGAATGGTCAAAGGAAGGATACGCGGTTGTGCGTTTCGTTACAAGGACTTGGAAGAGGCGAAAAACTCCGCGGTGCTGACGAAACCGCATCGCCAGGTCGATTTTGGAACAATGGTGGTGACGCCACGACCTGTGGCGGCGATCAGCGTGGCCGGCTGGTGCCAAGGGTGGCGCAAGCGCATGGAAGACACGTGCCGGCTTGCGTGTACCGCACAGGGCGCTTTCGCCGTTGTGCTGGACGGCCACCGTGGTGAAGAGGCGGCGCAATTCTGCGGGGATCTACTGTCGTCTGTGATACTCGAGTACACAGCAGCTGTGGTGGAGCAGGAAACGGCAGCAGAGGCAACGAAGGCTAGGGACACGGACAATGGACTCGCGGTGGAGTTACCGGCGGATGATCCTCACGCCGTGGTGCGCCGTGAGATGTTTCTGCGCGCCTTCATGGAGGTTGACGCGCAGCTGTACGACGAACAGG